CCTCCCCTCCCCTCCCCACGGCCGCCTCCACCGCGCCACAAATCCCGGCGACCCGCCCCGTCTCCGTGCCCGCCCCGGCCACCACCTCCGGCGCGCCTCCGAATCCCATCCCGTTCCGCGAGCCGACTCCGTCTCCGTCTCGTGGGCGGTGACGACCCGTACCCTGCCCCGAGTCGGGGAGGGGCGGCCGAGGTTTTTTTCCCCTTCGCGCCCCATATGGGCTGGTCGCCAGCTATATATTACTACCAGCTCGTCGACCGGCGGAAGGGCATCGGCTCGCGTTGGCGGGAGCTCTCCAGATCTGCCGCGGACGCTCGCCTCGTGTAGATCCCGTCCCGTCCGGATCTCGGCGCGGCGTCGGGGCTCCAGCGTCTCGTCTCTCCGTCTGTAGCTAGCGCCTGCGCGAGTGGGCAGGTGCACTGTTTGCTCAATCTCTTTTGTTGCTCCTTTGCGGGCGTATGATTCTCCCGAGCTTCTGCTAGAGCTGGAGGCGCGTATGATTTTGGCCGGCGTAACACTAAGCTTATTTTCCTTATTTGCTCCCTCTTTACTGCTGCGTTACGTTTGCCGCTCATGGGAATTTACTGATTTAGCGGCGACGCAAAGTTTTTTGCCGTAAAAGGGCCAATGCGTACGAGCGAAGCGTTAGATATTTCAACGTCCTAGCCGGTGAATTTGGCGTATAGAAACTGCATGTGGAGATGCAGTTTTTGTGACGCGGGCGGTTGTGGTAGTAGTTCAGGCAGTTATATCTGAGCCAAGAAAGGGCACGCCATTCTGTGTGCAAATGGGTGACGCCCTTTTTTGGAAAGATACTTACCGGCTTTTAGGTCTGGTGTAAATTTGGAAACTTCTATTACAAGTAATGGTGATAATTGTGTTGCCATCTCTGGCTGATAGTAACAAAAACAAACTTTTTGGAGCCCAACTGTACGATTTAATGGACCGACTAGTTTGGCAATTCTAAGAAAAACTTTTCTAGCTGAATTGATTTCGGATTAGTTCATCCATATATGTCATGTAAATTAATAAATGGCATATCTAGTTTAGAGTTCACATTTGGTGTGCTCTAAATATTACTCAAATAATTGGAGCCAGACCTTATTGGATTAGTTTTTATTTGCCTTTGCTGTTTTCGATAAGCATGAAATTGTTTTTCACTTGAAAATAATATCAATTCTTGGTAGCCTGGCATAAATTTATTATTGATAGCTACCTCACAGAAAATCATGGAAGTAGCTAAATAGTTCTACAGATTAGCAAATACTAGCTTCTTGCTAACGAAGAGATGACTTTTCTATTTTGGTTATTCATAGGAAATATACTTTTTGTAAATGCGCCGAACCATACTAATACTAACCCTTGATATTTATCACCTTTTCAGGGTTTGGGTAAATCTCATTGGAAGAGTTTTTTCTGTACATGTAATTTCTGTTAAAAGATGACTTCACTGAATAAAGTTGTTCCAAATAATGGTGATGCAAGGTCAATGTTACCAAATAAATTCACTGCATTAAATCCCAATGCAGCAGAGTTTGTCCCTTCATGTGTTATTAGACCATCCTATGGTAATAGCACAGCTTCAGATGCAAGTAAGTCTGAACTTAGGGGGTCCCCTGGAAAAAAAATTCTAGATAGGTCTGAGTCGTCCAAGTCTAATAACTCAGACGATGAGGCACACCAGTTCTGGCGTAAGCAGCTCCCAGATGATATTATTCCAGACTTCACTTCTTTCGAGAAAATCGAACAAGAACCTGAAGAGCTGTCCCTTGCTGGATTATCCTTGAATGCACCTCCGTTCTATGGGACAAAAGCTAGCCGCTTGTCAAGAGAACACCAAGAGTTGTCTTCTTCAGCTAGCAACCTGGAACTTGGGCATACCAATTTATTTTACGAGGATAATTCACAGGCAACCTTTTCAACTGTTGGTTCAAGTAATTGGGAGCAAAATTACGTGGGTGATCTCCACTTTGCTAATGAAAATCAGGACCTTCAGTATGATCCTACCACGGGCTTTACTGACGGTTTTGCTAGTGAGTACGTTGCAGCATCAGATGGCCTCTTTGACCCCCTAGAGTATTTAGCGTCTCAGTTTCCTGGATTTTCAGCAGAGAGTCTTGCGGAGCTGTACTATGCAAATGGATGTGACTTCAATCATACTATTGAAATTCTCACCCAGCTAGAGGTAATCTCTTCCTATCTGTAATTTTCACACTTAACTCCTCTAGACGTCCAATCAGAGCACTGCTTAACATAGCTGTCTCTTCTTGACGTATATGGCTGAAACTTTAATGATTTTTCTTTCTGCTCAAGGCACCAGTATTAAATGTATCCTTTGAAAGACAATATTAAAATCTCGTTCCTCTTTATTTGGTAATGTACATTGCTTCAAGCAGTTATGTTACAATTGCAACATTCAGTAGCATCTCCAAGGGTTATTTTTTCTTTTGATTTTTCAGATGCAAGTGGATCCTACTTCCAATCAGACAATGAATTTGACCCCCAGCTCACCAAACTTTAGTACGGGGGACTTTCCTGCCCTGCCAACAGCAGAAGATCAAAATGGTTTCTCCAAGGGAGATATGGATATCCTTGGCTTCTTCAGTGGGCGCAATTCTTCCACCATATCTAGTGGTACTGGTGATTTTGTTTCAGCTGTTCGGAAACTTGCATCGCAGAATTCTGGCCACAGCAAGTTCAAAAAGGGCTCTGATTATGGCAATGGTGTTTCTACCGTTTCTGTACCCAAGCAGTACAGTTTTGGTTCTAAAACATCTTCTGGGAACAAGTATCAAAGTGTTAGTAGTGCACGTGCAGCTGCAACTCCATGGCTTGATACCGGCGATTCAGTCGGTAATACTCATCTGAATATTACAAGTTATTTCTGATGCAGATTGCACAATTTGATGGTTTTGCACATTGTATTGTTGTTATCTTAGAATAGGCAAGTTAGGATTGGTACATTGTGCTTTACAATGTATGGATAGATCTCAGGAAGCAAATTATAGTTGGGTGTGCATAATTTGAAGCATATTGGTGTATTTCCATGTCCTCATTCTAGATAGATGCAATTATAGACTGATGGATTTATCTTTGTACGTGGCCCAACAGCAAACATGTATTCAGAATCGAGGGAGGAAGCTCGTGATTTTGCCCGTGTCCGAAATGCATGTTTTGAGCAGGTGAGCAGCTTAATTGTTGTCTCCAGATGCTTGGTTGTATATGTATCTATTCTTCTAAACCAATGTACATGTTACATGTTCACATTTGCAATTTTTGTTTAGATATCTGTTCATAAGGAATATTAAAAAAACACTGGCAGAATCATAGTAGGAATTTGTTGAGGGTTTTGCCTATGGATTGAATTTGGCATTGTTAATCGGTTTTTGTTGAATTTGGCATTTTTTAAATTGTTTGTTGCCTACTTGCTGTATGTATCGTTAGGTGTGTATCATTGTCATGTGCTTAACTGCAGTCGAGAATAATCATAATGTCTCCCATTTTAACTTCTTTCTGACTACATGTCTTGTTCCTTTCCTTCCTAAATAGAAGGGCAGACCATGTAAAAAAAGAAGGGCAGAGAATATTCATGTTTTTGTATAATTTTTCCACTACTCATATGCAAGTTTGCAAGCCATAAAAAATGATGGATTTGTGCGACTTATTTTAGGGAAGGGCAAATCTGGCCCCATAGCTACCAGTATCATATAAATTACATCCAGGATATCATCATTTGCTACGTCCTGCACATTTGATTCATTAATTTTGTTAGTTGGAATATTGATGGAAAGATGTACTTGGCAGGCTAGACAAGCTTACCTAATTGGCAACAAAGCTCTGGCCAAGGAACTAAGCATCAAAGGTCAGGCCTATAACTCGCAAATGAAAGCAGCTCATGAGAAAGCTAGAGAAGCTATTTATCGACAGAGGTTGCTTTCTCCCCTTTCCAAGCTATGTATACTGCTTCTGTGGAATGTCAGCGACATATTTACAAGCACTTCTGTTCCATCCTAAAAATTTTGATTCATTGTCCAGGAACCCTGGTTCTTTGCAACGGGGGAGTGATCGTCTGATTGATCTACACGGCCTCCACGTGAGCGAAGCAATCCATATCCTCAAGGTCGAGCTCAGCTCCCTGAGGGGCATGGCGAGGGCTTCAGGCGAAAGGATGCAAGTCATGGTATGCGTCGGAACAGGCCACCACACCAAGGGCTCTCGCACCGCGAGGCTGCCCATCGCCGTCGAGCAGTTCCTTCTGGACGAAGGCCTCCATTACACGCAACCTCAGCCCGGCCTGCTTCGCATCGCCGTGTACTAACATGATCTCTTAGGTGAGCACCACAGAGAAAAGCAACCCACAAAAAAAAAGAGGAGAAAGAGATGCAGGAGAAAAACTAAAAAGGTGCGCTGTTGGAGCACTTGTAAGTTCTTGGTAGTTGTATATTAAAGGAGCCAGCAGGAGAATAGCCTGACAAAACAGAATACAGTGTAAAATTATACATAGATCCATTCAATTCACATTCCATTCCCCTCCTGCCGTGCTTATTCGTGATATGGTTCCCTGGAGTGCATGCGAGATGGACTGCGGCGAATGTCACACGGGAAACGTGGGAGATCTCGGTTTCAACCGGCATTCTGCGGTTATAACAAGACGTGGGATTTTGCGGACTCGGTGAAATTTGAGACAAACATGTTGCATGCTTTCACCTGTTTGTTTTATTCTGTTTCTCAAGTTGCCAGGAAGTTCTGTTCTGTACATCCTCTTGAGAGAGCTGCAAATGAACACTCGTGGTTGCTTAAGCAACTCATGCGGTGCATGCACATGAGAGAAGAAAAATCCCTTTCACTAAAAAAGAAGAGTGGAATTAAGAACCTAGTAATTTAATGTTTAACATTTATCATGCTTAGCTTTCTCACGGATATACATGGAAATGTATGATCCATCTTGTGTACTGACATCATCTTGTATAGGCTAGTACAAGGCAATATTACACAATATTAATGTCTTTTAACACAGAACTCCACTTTACAACACAACTAAATATTTATGTACGGTTCCCGCAAACAATTATTCATGAAAATGCATGATCCATCTTGTGTATTGACATCATCCTTTTTTTTTACCACATACTGCTCTGTCAGCCATACGGGGACAACCAGATCAACCAGATTGTTAAAGCTCAATTAAACTTGTGTTAATTATGGGGGAATCTCCCCTTGTACCAACCGCAGCCAGTTTGCGTTGGCAACTGTGGGGTCGGTTCCTGACATCTCTCCAGAACGGATGCCTCTTTGATGCATCCCTTCTGCCTGTATAAATACCTACAATCATCTAATGAAAGGACATTTATTCACTTTTACATCTGGGCCGAGGCTCTCTCGATTGTTCTCTTGTTTTCCCTTTCAACACGTTATCAGCATGCTCCCGGCGGAGCGATTCCATCTGCGCGACGATCCCCCCTACAGCATCGCTCGCTCGCGTGTTTGTCAGCGTGGTGGTGCCCGCTACTGCGGCCGCCCTCAGGACCGACGTTTCTGCAGTGCGCTGTGGCCATGAATTCCTGCAGGCGAAACAAGGCCATGAAGAACAGAAAATGAATGAAGAACAGGGGAGATGGCATCCATCGATCAAAAGATTGGAGGTTTAAACCGAGAATTCATTGTCTCCCATCACGACAAGAGTGTAAATCGAGATCCACCAACGAACGAATCGGGAAGAAAACGGAAAAGGTACACGCGTTGATTTCTTAAATCGCTTTACCTTTGTTTCCTCTATGAGGGACAGTCTCGTCGCGAAGAACGGCGGCAGTCGAACCCTCGGGCCCCATCGGCAAGGCGCCTCATCGGCGTCCAATGGTGGGAGACTGCCCTCGGCCGCGTGATCCGGCGCACGAGCGACGGGCATCTGGCGCAACGGTGTCCTGGCCCCGGCGCTGCTCCTCCTGGCACACCCCATGCTCGACCATCGGCCTTGCCCCCACGGGCGCAGAGGCGACCCGGCCCCGGCGCTGACACATGGAGCCCAGCGGCGCTCGGGCTCGCGAATGGCGCTTCCAACGGCGTCGTATCCGGCACCCACCTCCCCGGTGACTCCTACTCCGAGGACGAGCGGGGCGGGAGATCCTCTTGCCGCCGGTGGTGCGGCCGACCGGCCGTGGGCGTCTTCGCCTGTGCCCAATCGGGCCGGCACGCCCTCCCCGGAGTCCTCTGGCGCAACCTTCTCCGGCCTCCAACGCGAGGCTCGGCAGCGCTTCGCCCGGGTCGTGGTCTCTCCACGAGTTGCCGGAGAAACGGCCGATCGACCATGGCAGTCGCCGCCCGCGTCGGTCGTGGGGATTGGGGATGGATGCTGGCAGGGGATCGCTATCCCTGGCCGCTTGCTTCTTATCCAATTGGTTGACCAGGCCCAGGCCGGCCCTAGGCTGGCTTCCCCAGCGTGGCCCATTTGCATAAGATTGGGCCACCGCTTTTCAGCCCTTTTTCTGTTGAGTTTTAATATTCCAGAAAATATGTGGTTATTATGTGGCATGTTCAATATGTTTGCTTTTTAGAAATCTCTATAACACGTCTTATTACTATAACGACATTGTTTTGCGGTCGAGATTAAGTTTTCTCGCACAACAATATTGATTTGCGATTGAGAAATATTTTTTTCTCGTAAAACAATCTCATTGTGATTGAGATTAATTTTCTCTCGCAAAATATTAATTCACCCTGTTGAATTATCTTTCAACTTGATACATGATCATCTCATTTAATTTAAGGTCTATACAATTCAAGTTTTTTTTTCACTTGAACATCAAGTTTGCAATATCATTACTATTCATTATAATAGTGGTGTATTTCCGTTGAGTACGATGTATTCCGGAAGGTGCAAAATTTAAAGTGATTTCTTCAAGCTGATGCTTGGGATCACAAGATAGTCATATGGATCTACTGCCTACGCAGATTATCGATGACTACTGATAAAGTCTACATTTTGTCGTTTCGACATTATGATTGCTTTACAAAGTGCTCTCCCACATATTTTTCTAAGTCATGACATAAGGCATTATGAGTGAGTATTTCCTGATTTCATCAGATTATACTCCCAAGTGCTGCGAGATCTACTTCATTCGGGAGATTATCTTCAAAGTGTCATGCTTAGCAATTTGAGATTCGCATTAATGGTTTCAAGATAACTTCTTGAAATATCCATTAATTTTGCAACATTACCATGATGGTCTTTAATTTACTAATTGTAAATTAATTATCTCTGGTAACCGATGGCTAGAGAATTGAGGCATTCGCCCTCGATGGCCACCACTGCCCTACTTGGGCCATGGACATCATGATCACTCTTGTGTCTCGTGGGATAATGTGTGCCATCAAAGACCTGTCGAATTCTCCTACCGTTGGAGTCACACCACTAACAGAATAAACATGTTGCTTTATGCATCGTAAGACATTATATCGATCCAGACCTCAGCATCTGGTTATTCTGTATTAGCAATCCCCGGGATACAAAGAACCTCAAGGGCAAAAGGTTTGAACATCACTCCTTCAATCTGACACCATCATGGCAGTTTGTTGTTTGCATGACGTTCTTCTAGAACCGAGCAATAAAATGACTATCCAACTGTCACATGACCACGGAGAACATGAAGGTTGAATATGCATCAACTGACATGTTTGGAGACTACATTTAGTCCCTCAATCTCCTTAGTGATCTATTTATTTATGTCCATTTCTGATGTTCTAATATGAACATGATTATTGTTGTCATCATATATTGTATCAGCACTTTGGTACAAATACATTTGTATGTATTCTATATATATCTGACAGTGATTTTCATTGAGAATCTTCATGTCTATATATATAGATTTCTACGGGAGTCAATCCGATGAAAAATGATATGTGCCTTGTGGACATATGCACCACAAACTTTATTCTCAGGGTAGTTCAATGTTTCCACTCTCATTGAGAGAAAGGAGATATTTAAATCGTTAGACGCGATGAGGTATTTGTTGGCTCAACTCGAGTCATATTTACTATCCTTGTGGGTACTCGAGTAACGTCGGGATGCTTTATTGCTTCCCAGGTTTAACTCGTACCCTACTAAACTATGAAGGTATCCGTTAAAATAGTTTCCATAGCGAAACTTATGATGACAACAAAGAGAAATAACTTCTCTTTACCATATGCAACGGATATGGAAAACACATTATATGTGTATCATCTGGATTGTACTACACATAAGACACAACCCGTACCACATGTTGTGTACGAGATAGTTTTCCAGAGTGTCTTGTACATGACAAACTTGGCATACTCGCCTTGGTCATCGAGACATTGGGTTGAAACAAAAACTATCAGCAATTCCAATAATTTATGATTATTATGATGCTAAATTCTAGTAACATTTAGATTTTATGTGCACTACAAGTGACACAGGGAAGCTAATTTTAAGGCTTGCACACCTTAAAATTCTACGATGAACCACTCAGACTCCTTGAATGCATCAAGTCGAGGTAAGTGGCTCTTCCCAGCCATTGAGTAGACTATTCAGGTATTCCATGGTTTTAAAAGACATATCTACATGATGGTCTTAAGTGTGTGCTTTATTCACACGAAACCATTGGCTCATTATCCTGACATCGATTTCAAGCAAATCGAATGGGTAACATTGCAAAATTCTCCTTGAGGGCATTCTTTATGGCCTTTGGATTGAAGTTTAGCAATTTGTCCTAATGTCTAGACTCAAAATGGTTTGGTAGAATCATAATATCCAAAGAGTTAAGCTCATTGCATTATCTTTATTTTGGAATTGCAACTTACCAACTTTACGTTGGAGTCATGTAGTTTTACACACTCATGACCAAATTGCATAATATTATTCCCCTCTGTCTTTGATACGTGGAAATCTATCAAGTATTTCCTATCTGCGGTAATTCGGTTGCATACCGATATCATCACCCGGCATACATCATTGGCCCCTCAACATATAGTTGGGATCTATGTGAGCAATAACTGTATTTCTGTCAATACCTCAAGCCCCTCGCATGGGGAGTTATTCAAGGCCAGTATGCTGATTTAATGAGGAACATTTCCAGGCATTAGGGGGAGATTTCATTTACCATAAAAATGCCAGGAAATTAGTGGAATGTTCAACACATTTCTGCCTCAAATCCATGTACTCAAAGATCTGAACCATGCATTCAGAAGTTTTGCAACACATTGCAAATAATCTGCCATGTTCATTTACTGACTATAAAGGTGTCACACAATCCTACAATCCTGTAAAAGTACGCCTGAAAGAGTGGAGGTACCAGCAAAATCCACTCCACTCCTCGTTCAAAGCAACAGGGGGAGATGTATGGCAGAAGTACATCAGTATTCAGCTTCTCGCAAGCAATGATATCAAGGCATGTGAATCAGTAAATGCAAGTCAACTTCACGTTGGCAGACACCTAATGGGTAGTATACACCCAGTGGATGGGAAACCTCCACCAACCCAGGTCATAGTGCACATAATGACCGGGTCATCGGAATACCCGACTCAATCGCATTGGGAAATGGCGAACAGTCACCATGGGTAATGATGTTTCTATCAACTCTATATTGATATATAGATTCTGGAGAAAGATATAACGGAAGTCTACAAATGTCGACATACATTTCTCAACTAGATTGCAAAAACCTTTCAAATGATTCAGATCCAAAGACCATGGCCATGGCAAAGTGTGAACAACACTCGGACTGAACTCAAGCAAAGGGTATAATCTAGGTAGAAATGATCTTGCTCAATAATGGGAAGGTATTCATAAGCAATACCAACACCAGTTTTCTTCTGGAAACAAAATTGAGAACGAAAAGGTGGTGAAACATAGAGCAAGTATTGTAGCACAAGGGTTCATGCAGATACCCAACTATTCTCCAGAGGTGGAATCTCATTCCGATAACTTATATCATTGGCAGTTCAAAATCATCTATCTCTGCAGTTGATAGATGTAGTGATCACATGTCCATGTGGATCACTAGATTCAAACATATATGATTGATTTCCGACGGAGTCTCAATTCTGAATCGAAGTACAAAATGCAACATACATTGTGTAAAATCAATAAGTCACCATATGACTTATTATTATCACCGGTACATTTGGTACAACCGATGTAGTGAGTTCCTTATTCACAAGGATTACTCCTACAATGATGATTATCCATGTTTGTGTGTCTGCAATGACGACACATGTAATCATCTAAATGACGGAGTTTAAAATGAAGGATTTGGGTAAACCAGAATACCGCTCGTTACTACAACTTGAGCACCTTCATTCATACATTATGGTATACTATGTTGTCTATATCCAAAATATATTGGAGAAATTCATTGTGGACAAATCTTATCCATCCATAACTCTCATGGTAGTTCATTCTCTAGACGTAGAGAAAGATCTATTTAGACCAAGAGATGATGGAAATGAGATATTGGGACTCAACGTTCCATAATGCCATTGGATCCACCAAACACAATTGGTTGGGACTCAAGAATATATATTGATATCTCCAAAGGCATCAAACATCTTGTCCTGGTTTTTCAGTTTCACAGAAATGTGAACACCGATATCATTGGATACATCGATTAGATCCCCACTATGTCAGATCGTAGACAAGCTTAGTGTTCATACTAGGTGTGGTAGCCCTCTCATGAAGAGTCTTCCAAACAGACCTCATGGCTACATCCACCAACCATTATCTCAAAGATAATGTTGCTTGTGTTGCCCGGATGCAAATAGGTTACGTAATTAGCAATATTGTTATATTGCATATCTTGCAAGTCAATCATGTGAATGATTTGCTCACCAAGTCTCTACCAGCTTCTACATTCCAAAGATACGTTCATGGAATTGGTATATGACGACTTCGGAATATGCAAGAATCAGGGGGAGTATCCTCCTAAATTGTTCCTGTTCAATGCATCATATTATACTCTTTTTCCCTTCATGAGTTTACTATACAGGTTCTCATAAAGGTTTTTAATGAGGTAATATCAACATGAGATCATATGTCATACTTTCTGTTTTCCCCACCGGGGTTTTTGGGAAAGTATATACGACATATTTATTGTTCTCTAAACTCTACGAGTTTTCTCGTATTGAGTTAAAAGAGACAATAACCATTATATGTTGCATCATTTTCTCCTTATTTTCCCCACTAGGTTTGAAGGAGTTTAGCAACATATCAAACAGTATACTCCTCACATTTTTCCCACAGGGTTTTTGGAGGAGACTTTTTCAAGATGATGATATTACATGGACAAGTGTAGATTAGGGGGAGTGTTAAAGCTCAATTAAACTTGTGTTAATTATGGGGGAATCTCCCCTTGTACCAACCGCAGCCAGTTTGCGTTGGCAACTGTCGCGTCGGTTCCTGACATCTCTCCCGAACGGATGCCTCTTCG